ATGTTTTCTGACAGTTCTGGTGGCCAGTCTTAATTTGTTTAGCTAGAGGCATTTGCCGAAAAAACCAGTGCCGGTAGCAACAGAAACTGCGGGGAACCATGCAAAAAAGGCATCTTCGCACGAGCAGCCCGTGCGTTGGCCAATTATCTTATTTGTCTCATTCGCATGCATGCTTAAAACACACGGCCAGTCGGTGTGGGTATCCCATGTTAGTGATGTTAGTTGAATGCTTTCGCATCAAGGCGCAACTGAGTCAAGCCCGTCCAGTAAATTAAATGCACAGCGTCTTTCATTTGTGTAGCATTAGCAAAAGGCGATTTTTTATGGTTTTCCTTTTAACATAATACATTCGTTCGAATTGCTGGCGGAAGTTTTGCTTTTCAATACGGCATAAAATCAGAGTACTAAAAATATTTGGGAATAATATCAAGCCATCCACATTTCAAATTACATTAGAAAGACACAACCCAAGTAGCTAATGCTTGGGTCCGCTCCAGTTATCCCACTTGTCCGCGACAAAATTTTTTTTTACTCGTCGTCTCTTTTCCCCTTCCTGCCTTGCTCTTGTTTAACCTTCTTTTTTCACCCTCCTCCCTCATCTGGTCGAATCTCGTAATCACTAAATAAGGAAGGATTAAATAAAATTTTTAACTGTAGAAAAAGAAATAAACGGGTTTTTTTTATGTTGAAATCGTGTACTTAATCGTTAAAATCTTTTAAAACTGAAAACAGGCATCGTGCGAAACATAATTCTGTTTTTAGTAAACATAAGTAATGAAGTCAGAATCATTATTACCTGAGTGTCTACCAACATTTACTTAGCTAGTGGCCGGTGAATATCTGTGGCTAATTTTCTTTTGCAAAAAATTTGTTTTCATCCTGGGCAAAAATTTGTTATAGAGACATAAGTAAGCAAATGTGTACGTATAGATGTACGTATATATTTTTATATCTTGTTCTTGATATGTATTATGTACATATTTTTCCCGCAAAATTTCGACCCAGGCACTTCATCATGGTCTGAGCGTGGCTGCGATCTAAACAGTGCCGTGCGATCCAAAGGTGGGGTACATATTTTGGCATTGCTACGAAAAACGTAGTAATAAAAATGACTCGGACGAAACATTTGGCTGTTTTTTTTTGTCTTAAATCAATGAAACTGAAGTGGAGTTAGCTTCTGGACTAAACCAAAGGGCAAGAAATGGAGGCTTAAAAAATTTTTTAAGGGCTCGTACATGTGTGTATATTTTTTATACGTTTCATATAAGTACCTCTTTATAAATTTATAAATCTTGTTTTAAGGCAAACTTGACGCTGGAGCTGCTGCAATCGAATGATACGCCGAAATTTGTGCGTAAATTATCAAAAAGCTGCCCAGATCCAGGTCAGTTTGGACAAATTTTTTTTTTGAGGAGAAAAGGGGAGGGGAGGGGAGGGACTTGGCTTTTCTGTTGGGTCAGTTGTGACTTATTCCATTTCTCCGTTTATACAGCAGGCATCTTCTCCAGCTTCTTTGAACAGTGTGCCTACTCGATATTGCAGGGTCGTCACAGGCTTTTAGCTTCTGAACGAATAACTTACTCCAGTTCTCCCAGCAAAAACACTTAACAGTATGTATGTGTATGTGTGTACGTATATGGATGTGTGTATGTGTATGTGTGTATGGGCGTGCGTGCTTGTGTATAGTGTGTGTATGCATGTGTGTACGTTGAGCATTACCAGCTCGTCTTGAGCATTGCCACGCTCAGACTACTTGCAGATTTTTTACCGATTAGAATCCCCTGAGGATTATGATTTCCTTATTCTTCTGAAATTTAGTGACGAGAAACAATTATAAATTAATTGCCGCAAATAGTTCCATGATATTCTTTCTGTGATTGTTGCAGATGTGCGCAAAGTTTCTAGCGATGTGGTAATGCAGTGGAAACGTTTGGTAGCGGCACCACCTCCTGCACCTCCGGAAGAGCCGAAAAAAATTGGTTCGGCAAAACGCAAATCACCTCATCCACCATCATCTGGAAGCAAAGCAAAAATAAGGAGAGAAAGCTCAGAGACATTAAGAACAGCGGAAAAAGGGTCGCCTGTAACAGAAAGCAAAAGTGGTCAAACAGTCGACGAGTCGGGCAGAAAATCATCAAGCAGCAGTAGCAGTAGTAGTGAGAAATCAGCGGAACCTTCGCCCAAAACAGAGCTGCCCAGATGTTCGCCCGCGTCGAAATCCAGCGAAAGTAGCAAATCCGGAAAAACAGAAAAATTAAGCGAATCGGAGAAGCCGGCAGCAGCGTCGTCCAGTAAACTAAATGAATTCAATATGTTTGAAAAGCTGGGTGAAGAAAGAAAGGAAAAAAAGCGACGACCAAAAACTGCCAAAACTTATACTTCGAAATTCCGTTCAACGGGTACTGCTTTAGTGTCTCTTTTATCCTATGTTTAATTTTTTCTGCTGAAAAATTTAAGGAAAAAACAACTGCAAGTGGGAAACCTGGAAAGGGGGAGGAATTTGCTTTCTTCCTTTGCGTGATTTTTTGGTAAACGAAATCAAAAATCAGCAGTGCATGAGCAAGAAAATACAAAAAGTTTAATCAAATCATGCGAATCATGCGCTTAAACCAAGGGGCCACTAAGGTGGACAGAACGGTGTGAAATTGGGCCAAATGGACCTGAATAAATTAGTCGCTTTTTGACTTAGTTTTCATGCTGACTTCTGAGTATTTCTGTTAAACAATACCTTATTTGGTAACTCCGGAAATGCTGAATTTAGTAAAAGAAAAACTAAAAGTGCCACGTAAAAACAGCAGCGAGTCGTATAATTAAATAAAGGAGGGGAAGGGAATTCCGGCATTGCAGCGCGTTCCCTGATCTTTATCGCAAAATACCACCGATACATATCTTCCTAAATTTTAAGGAACTGTTAAGTAACTTTTGATTTGCAGCAGAATCTTTTCAATGGCAAACAAAAAGCAGCAGCTCAAGTCCTGAATTATAAAGCCGCAAAAAGCTCTAGTTCTTTTCAGCTGAGATGTAAGGTTACAGTACTCGTTTTAATGTTTAGCGATCTTCCTGTGTTCCTCCGCAATGGGCCATGGCCTCCAGAAAAAAAACTTGTGCCAGTTGTTGTTAAACTTGGAAAAATGGACTTTTATTTGAACCACAAACCAACAATACCTGAGGTTAACGAGTGTAAATTCCTCAGAAATTTGCAAGGCGGCACCTTCCTAGCTAATTACAAGGCTTGGAAAATTTTGACTGATTTCAGCCGAAATACAGAAAACTCCGACTCATCGTCGTAGTTTCTCTTTTGAATCGACCACTGCATTTCAGTAGATTGTGACTGAGGAATTTATAATTTATAATTTTATTAGAAGAACAAGCAAGGGGCGGAAATTGGAATTAGTCATTTTTCACAAAAATTGCGCGCTACCTCGAAATTCAAGCTTAGTATATGTATGCATTTTTGCATATATGCAAATGCAGAAGCGCATATTGACAAGAGGTTTTCTGTGTCTGTTTGTGTATTCGCACTTTTTGTTACTCATTTTCAACTCAGAAACCAGACAAGACAAAGAGCTGAAACTTTGCAGGGATATTGTCTGTGCATGCATGAATTAAAGATTTCAAACTCAGCCCCCAGGTGTTCATGATCCTCATGTACGGGTGCGTGAAGTATTTGGCGGCTTTGCTAACTCGATAACCAGGAAGGCCAGAAGGCTGAAATTTTAAGGGAATTTTCCCGCCCACATGCAGTTTAAAGATTTCAAATTCAGCCTCCAGGTACGCGTGACGCTCACGTGCGGGCATGCGAAAGTTTCGGCGGGAAAATTACTGACTCGGAAATCGAAGAAGGTGGGAAGCTGGAATTTTCGGGGAATGTTCCCCGTCCAAGTACAACGAAAGATTTTAAATTCAGCCTCTGGGCATGCTTAGTTCTCGCGTCCGGGACTTAAATTTTTGGCGAAAAAGCTAAGCCGTTTTCAAGGAACGACAGCTAAACGGAATTGTTTATTTGTGCAAAATTTGCGGTGGTTTACGGTAGCAAGCGCACAAGGTTACTGTAAAGCAACAACTATTTATGCGGTTAACGACTTGATTTCTTCAAGTTTGGTGCAAAAACGCATGGTCGCGCCGACAAGCTTGTGACGTTCCAGCCTGGTTTTTTAAACCGTTGTAGCAAATTTAGAATTTTTAGGTCGCTTTCCCAAATTTTCAAATTTTTTTAATTGTGTGAGTGAAAAAAAAGCTTCTTTGATCTTTTGAGTTTCCTTTGATACAATGAGCTACCCACACTCGGATTGCTGAGATACCTGAAATTTCACCGGGAAGTAGCTAGCTTTGGAAACGACCACAGTCATTGGCTCACCCTTAACGAATTTGAAGCTTTTATGTCTAAAATTTTTGACTAAAATGAAATTTTTTTTTCACTTTTACAAAACATGTTGTGCCGGTTGCTTTGGCTTGATGGATTGGCTGGCGAAAGAGTGCTGCTGCTGCTGCTGCTGATTTGCTGTGTTTTTTCAGGAATACAGCTCCATTATTGCGTTGTAGCGGCGAGTTGCTCGATGATTGTACAAGCTGTGCTATCCATTATTGTTCATTTCTTTCCCCATAAAAATGTCATTTTTATTCAAGACATGTCTTCTTCTGGATGCTTTGTGAATGCTGCTTGTGTTCGATGCCACATTTGGAAGCAAGCAAAAGAGAGGACACATACGGATGTGAAAAAAGTACAAAGAACCACTTAATACCTTTGCCCGTCTCAAATAACTTACCAAAGTTTGTTAAGTTTGATCCAGCTGCTACCGTTGCACCGTCGTCCGACACCACTCATCTTGTTCTGCTTTCTTTCTTCGCCGCAGGGATGCTGTTGTTCAATTTCCAGTTCTATCACTACTAGTACTAATTGTAAATCATCCATCATCTACTCAACATCCCCAAAACATATATATGTAATAATCGGCATTGGGCCGGTAAATGCACACAACGAGACGGGAATGAAAAGTAAACGAAACGCAAGTGCAACGTGATTCTGCAAAATCGATTTTTAGTGATTCTCAAAGAGACATCGTCTAACAGAACACCGTTTTAATCAGGTAACTCACACAATCGTATTGTTGGAACAAAAAAAGAACAAGAGGGCCCGTTTAAAAATACAATAATTTAAAATTGATACAATCAAAGCTTCAAGTCAAACGGGTACAGACAGTTTGTGACAAACCTCCATGTCAAAGCTACGTGATGCCGATGTCCACCTGAACTCGTCGTCCACTTTTTATCTGCGATTCTTCGTTGTGACCATTACCTGTCGACGATTTCTCGGCGTACCTGCGCAGTATTATCGCAAGCGACCGTCCCAGCGTTCCGTTACTCGTCCGTTCGACAGATTTGAATCCACATCGACAAGGGGATTCTTTCCGCATTTTCTGTAACGTAGAGTTAGGGGGCTGTAGGTCTCGGGGGGTTTTTCGCATTTTCTGTAACGTAGGGTTATGGGTCTGTACGTCTGGCAGGTGGTTTCGTTGTCCCACTTACGTCTTGCAGGTGGTTGCTTTATTCCGATATTCAAATATTTTCGGTATCTCTGCAGTCTTATATTTCTTTCACTTGAGAACACAGCTTATATCCAGTCGACTTTACGCCTATTTGTCTTCGCCGTACTCGGGATTTTTGCACAAAGTGGAAGCTTGCTTGTACATTCATCGAGCAGCAGCTTTCGATTGTTTTGTTTGTAGTTGGCCTGTGTAATATATCGAATTTGTTCAGGTTTGGAAGGGGACGATGAAACTTCCACAGACAGGAGCAGCGTTGAAACAGTTGCAGCACCAGTTAAAAAGAAGCCTCCGAATTTACCGGTCAAGACTGTTCTGGATGTCAAGAAACGAACTGGTGTGTTTAAGCTTTTTGTTTCTTGTAATTTCAATTTTTGGTTTTTATGCGTTTTTGCATAATATGCAAAAACACATTGTGGCGACCCTGGTGTGTGTGTGTGTATGTGCGTCTGTCCGGATATTTCAACTCGGCACCCAAGCAAGCTCCGGCGCCAAAATTTTGCGAGTAGGTTCC